GGCCCCAGTGACAGCATATCTTAAACATTGTGTCTTGTTCTTTTAGTAATCAGTATGTCTTGAAGAGAATTCCACATCAATACAGAGTTTGCTCTTATTCTTTCTAATAATTGCATAGTATTCCACATTGCACCATCATTTAACCAGGCTCCTGTTAATAGGTAAGTTGATTATTTGCAATTTTTGCTATTACTGATGTTGTACAATGAATAATTTTGATCATCTGTAATTTCACATGGATTGGGGTCATCTGCAGGATAAATCCCCAGAAGTGAAATTGCTGGATCAAAAGGGAAGTGCATTTGTGATTTTCATAGTTATCAAATTTTTCTATGTAGAAGTTATACTAATTTATTTTCCGGTGCATAACATTTAGCAGTGGGATTTTTTCCCCACAGATTCACCAGATGGGTGTGTTAAAGTCTTTGATTTTCATCAATCAGATAAGAGAGCATAGTCATCTCAAAGTGATTTCTGTCTGACTTTCCGGTTATGAGTAATGTTGAAAATTGTTCATGCAGTCCACAAACTACAGTGGTCTCTTTTGTCACCAGCAGGCCAATAGCCTTTGCCTACTGTTTGGTTGCATTCTTCTTCTTTTTTTTTTTTTTTTTTTCAGAACTGGGGATTGAACTCAGGCCTTTGTGCTTGCCAGGGAAGCGCTTATTCCACTGAGCCATCTCCTCAGCCCCTTGCGTTCTTGCTCCTACTTTTCTAATGTCCTGGGGAGGCTCTTGCTATGCTCAGCAAGTTCCGTTGGATTGGGTCAGGGGTCACGTGTGTCCTCCCACAGCCTGCTTTGCTTTGTGTCCTGACTCTGCCTTTGGTGACCCCTGCAGCCCCGAGGCTGCTCTCTGCACGGCTCATTCTCCCACCTCCCTGCCTGCCCTCACCCTGGCACCCTTTACCCAGGATGCCCTGTCTTTGGTTTTCCACATGGGGATCTTCCACTTGTCCCTGTAGGCCTGAGTCATGCTGCTCTACTTTTTAAAGATTAAATTTTTTTTCAGATCATTTTCTTTAATAGTACACTTTTGGAGTACGTAATGCTGGCAGTCCAGGCGGGGCCGGGGGTTGGCATTCGTACACACACCCCTTCCCTCCTTTGCTCACTCCCTCTCCCTCCTTCCATCTCCTGATCCTCTCCCTTCTCTTTTGGGAAAATCTATTTGCCTCCTTCCTATCGCCTGTCTTTTACCTTGCTCTTTATTTACACATTGGATTTCTCATAGAAGAGAAACCATGTGATATTTAAGTTTCTGTCACAGATTTATCACACTTGACATTATGGTCCCCAGGTGCACCTATTTTCGTACAAATGTGCAAGTTTATCCTTCTGTACAGCAGACTGGCACTGTGCTGGGTGTGCCTGGCTCCGCTTGACTCTGCCTCCCTCCCGCCAGAGCCTGGGACTCCTTTCTGGCTACTCCTTTCGTGTTGTACCCTGCCTCTGCTTGCCGTGTCACCTTCTCTGTAGACATCCTATTGATTTATCTTCCCATGTGTAATGTTTAGCAGTGGAATTTTCCCCATTGTTTCACCAAAAGGGTGTGTTAAATTTTTTGATTTTTGTCAATCAAATAAGAGAACATGATCATCTCAAAGTGCTTTCTCTCTGACAGTCTTGTCATGAGTAATGTTGGGCATTGTTTACACAGTCCGGGATCCAAAGCAGGTGTTCTGCTTGTACACATCTTCCCCTCCTCCCTAACTAGAAACTCCTCGCATTGCTTGACTTTGTGTTCTTAACCCTTAGCACATAGCATGTGCTTGTGGATGCCTGTGGAGTAAATGGACAGACAGTTCACTGAAGGATGTTACCAGCATCTCCCTAGACCGCTTCAGCTAATCCTAGTTCTTCAGGTGAATCTTATGCATGGAATATCCTTCCACTGAAACACAGATGTGAAGAGGACAGGCGAAGGGCCTGCTTTTGTAGCCAGGCGTTTATTGGGTTCTGTGCAGCACTTAGCAACGAGGAGGGCCTCTGGGCCCCTCTCTCACGGTCTCCTTTATCTATACTTTTCTGTGTCAAGTCCAAGAAAAACCAATAGGGACAACACATTGTTTTGAAGTAAAATTTATTTCAGAGCTCTCAAGACAGAGTGAACATACGTCTCATTCATCAGTGTTTTCACCTACATAATCTGAGCTTAGCTATTTTCAGTCTTAATGAAAACTTGGTGCAGATAGTGACCAGTCCAAATTACATTCATTCCATAAATATTAAAGACTAGGGTCTTTCACAGGTACTGATGCCTCTGGTCCCCCTTGAATTAAATTAAATAGATCAACCAATCAATAAATAAATAAATAGGAAAGTGCCTGCTCAATAGGAGACAGAGGGAGTCTTTGAGCAGAATGTGCTGCTTTTTGCCAGGCTGGCTTAGAGGAAGCAGGAAGGGTTGGGTAGGGGGAGGAGTGCGCGGTTGCCCAGTGGGTGGCAAGAGGACTCCTTAGCACTTGGGGAGGACAGTTGGTTGTCAGTGGGTCATAGTCAGCTCAGCCTGTGGTTGTGCTCAAATCCCCTTCTTCCAGCGCTGAGGTCAAGGCTCTGTTCAGCAGCTGTGGACCCACTGGGTGTGGTCTTCAGGAGGACATGAATCCCATGCTGAAGTCGATTATATCCTGGCCGTTGTTCTTGCCCAAGAACACAGGCATGTGCTCTGCCTGAGAGGTGCTGATGTACCAGTTGGGAAACTGGGCAGACTCAAATTCCACCGTGCTCTTGCTGGTGATCTTGTTGAAGACAAATCGCTTCTCCATCTTCTTCTTTGGGTACTGTTTGCCATCTACACTCTGAAGCAAAAATGAAATAAGGATTTTTGTGAGGGAAGGGACAAAGGTCATAGCTGAAATCATGTTGGGGCTAGCTCGAGAACAAATTGGTGCACAGGGGCTGCCTCCTTGGTGTCTTTGGGACCCCACATGGTCATTGAGGAGACCTTTGTTTTTTCTAATTGTGAGACCCAACACTGGGGAACATTATGTACATGCGAATTAAAACAAAAGAAGTGATTCCTGCCTAAATGACATCATTATGATAATGAAGTTTTTATTAGGAAAGCTTTAAGGGATGGTGGTGGGATATTGGAAGTGTAGCAGAGATTAATGACAGGTCCCTTTAATCAATGCCTTAAATTGTCATTGATCAAACAGGAGCAGTCCTGAAGGCATAATCTTTGTGACCTTAACATTGCAAAATCTATTGTGGTGGGAACAATGGCAGAACATGATAACACTGACAAAATGATTTAATTTTCTGGAGTAGGAGTGAAGTTTGCATACACTTAAAAATTATGTTAAATCTACTTTATGTTTATGTACAACTGTCAAGCAGACCTTCTCTCAGATTTTAAAGGGGTGCGGGAGGGAGCAGGTGGTTGTTGGGGAAGTGATAGGTGAGGGTGCCTCGGTGGCGGCTGAGGGCTCCTCCTCCGAGCTTGCTTACCTCCAGCTGCAGGACGGGTTTATCATCTTTCATCACACAGGACAAGTACAGATTCTTCCCCTTGAGGCCCAAGGCAACAGGGATTTTGTTGTTGCTTTTTTCTCCTTGTACAAAGCTCATGGAGAACACCACTAGAGAGGAGAGAGGGATCTCGTGGTTAGCGATGCAGCAGTGCCAGGTGGGCCCAAGTGCTAGACTCCACAGCGAGAACTCAGTTTTAGCATCCTCCATGGGGGATCACAGTGAGGGAGGGCTCTTTGGCTTCACAGAAAGGTTAAAAGACTCCTCACAGATAACAGCTGGGTCAGTTGGTTGATTATGCAGAAGGCCAGGACAGAGTTAGAAGCTGTGTTCCCACAAGCCATCAGGCACCAGAACTCATTCAAGAACACGACAGCAAGTGGGGCCGAACTGAGAAACACATGTCATGGCTGGGAAAATGGCTCCCAAGAAGGAGACCTTGTTTCCATCTTCCACAGCCGTAGCATTCTGAGTCAGAGGCCTGGGACCACTTCTCAGTCCTCCATTCTGCAGAAATAGCGTTATCCTTGCTTGGCTAGGAATGGGAAGCCTGGACCTACAGGATGCTTCCCGCCAAGCCCAACAGCTTCAGGGCAGAAGCTGTTGTTGCTGTCAGCAGCTCCCTTGGTCAGTCACAGTGGCCTAAGGCCTGGGCGATCCTTGTGGCTAGTGGTCTCATCCATCACATGCGAAACATGTGCCAGTCAGGGCAGAGAGATATATTTTCTGGTGGTTAGCAGATTTCCCCATAAGAAACCATGCGGCATTGGGTGAAAAGGAGGTTAGGGCCAGGAGGGAGGATGGACCCCATTATCTTTTCACTGTTCTCATTTTAGGCTCGACAGCAGGAAAAAGGAACCCACAGGCAGTTAGGACACGTCCATCAAGTGACCCCACACTGGCCCTGTGACTGGGAGGACAGTGGTCCTGGGAGTGCTTGAGCAATCTAATTCTCTCAGCCACACCTTCTGCTAACAGGCGAACATGCCAAAATATTCAAACTAACATAATGTACCCAAAATGTTACATTTATATGTTCATATTATGTTTCTTTTTGCTTTTATTATTAATTAGCTCTAGTGATTTTTTTTTTCGTTGTTCAAAAGCTACAGAATTAGCAAACTGTCCGGAATCCAGGAAGGGAAACTAAACATCCCCAATTACCTTGTTGGTTCAGATTCTCTCCGTTGAGATGAAGCGCTTTCAGTTCCATTGGGTCGTACAGCACCAGGTGTTTGTGTTGCACATCCTGGAGCGTGCAGTTCCGTACTGGGACAGGTGCGTCAGGCACCAACTTGTCATCCAACGTGTCGCAGATGATGGGTTCTGGAATTTGGAACGCACAAGTTGTGAGGTCGGACAATCAGAAGAGAAAGCCTGGGGAAGTGCAGCAGGAGAGCTGGGGTTCTTGGAGAATCTCTGAGCATGCGGGGTCGACGTTGAATTTAAACGTTAGTGAGGAGGAAGTTGGGAAGGGGGTGGTCGAGAACTCTGGGTCTGGCATCGTGAGACCAGGGCGCAAGCTTCGCTGCTATTGTCACTCACCATAGCCTTGCCATAGAGGCACTTACTGTATAACACTAGCCTGGCAGGGAGGTTGTGAGATACGCAGGCTGTACCATAAGTGAACGCACTCTGACCATGAGTGAACTGTACAGGTGAGAGGTTAGCAGGGTCCTTAAGAATTATTTTAGTGAAAGAGGTGGCTAATATTTTTTTACTCTTTTTTTTTCTTAATTACTAGGCTTTCTGCCTTTAAAGGGCACCAACTTGGGGAGGGTAAGTGGCTGAGGGACACATTGAGAAGCACCCAGCTGAAACTCTACCCTCTCCTCTCAGCTCTCAGTCAGTACCTTCCTCAAAGATGAAGGGAAAGAAGGCACTCAAGTCGCCATCCTGGAAGGCCCATGTGCAAGGATCCAGTTCCTTCTTCAGCTTCTCCACGGCCACGACGAGCGATACCACCTGCTTGAAACTCTTGTTGAAGTGCTGGTGGGAGATTTGCAGCTCGATGCCCTCATCCAGAGGGCAGAGGTCCGAGTCTTGGAAGCAATACTGAGGAGAGGACGAGGCAGGGAGCACATTAGGGTGGTCGGGCCAGCGGGCTGCTGCATGGCATCAAACAGTGGGAGGGGCTCGTGGCCATAACGGGGCATGTAATGATGACAATCCCTGTGTCTCTGAAGCCCAGAGACATTAAGTGGCTTAGCTAAGGGCACCTGGCAGTGCTACTCTAGAACAAAGCTCACTTCTTTCTTGTACATGCCACACATCACCATATATTTATTCCTTTGTAACACTATATCTTTTTATCTCTCTAAAGCTCTAGCACTATGCATTTTTATGACAATAACAATCATGACATATTCCACTCATCTATGTCCCCTGGACAAGTTCTCAATTGTTCTACGCATGTCCTTTTCTTATGGGTATTCTGCAAATACTGTAAGAAAGGTTACTATTTGGGAAATAGATGGTCACTGTCCTGCGATGCAGAGAAACTCTACATGCAGGTCTAAGTAAAGTTGGCTCGGGGAATAGTATTGGTTCCAAAGCTTGAAGGATGATGACAGAGACCTAGCAGCACAGTGAAAAGATGAGCAGGAAAGAAGTCCTTCCCCAGAGCAGAAGGTCCTGAGAACAGCCAGGCCCTGGAGGATACTGGGAGCCACAGGGAATGAACCAGATAATTGTCTTCAAAATAAAGAACTATGCTGTTAATAGGACCGAGGACTGCCATGAGGATATGGGAGGCTGTACTGCACGAAACAAAAGGCAGAGGAAAGTGGCTGCCTACTAATCCGCATAATGAATTCCCAGTGAAGCGGAAGGCCCCACCACCTGGGAAAGTTACCAGGCATCTTGAAAGAAGAAGGACAGCTGGAATGTCACCATGGACTTCTATAGGGACAAGAGGCTGCAAAATGCCCATGTGCTAGGATACGCTTAGCTGCCATTGAAGATCTTTCAGAACTGAAAGTTGTAAGTAGTATACTAGGATCTCAGAGATTATCTAGTTCACGCCCTGTATTTTTCAAATGAGGGTCAAACTCGAAGTGAACAGTTTTCTCTCAGCTCCCAATTCACCTTTGGCTTAGATCATCTGTATTTTTCTCATAGGATCCATCCCAGGGAACAAAGGACTGTTTCTGCCTGTAGCAGGCAGACCTGGTGTCAGTTCTCAAGGTTGTCCTTTCTGGTTGCAGAGTTTGGCTTATGGGCTGAACCCACCTCCTAAAAGGAGTATCAGATTTGAAGACTTGGCTGTCTTCCTAGTACAGGACAACACGGCCAAGCCTTAGCCAAGGCCCATGGTGTGGTGGGAGGTGCTTGGGGTGTGGCCTCTATCTGTCTCTCCTGAAAAGCAGAAAGTCACCCCACAAGACTACCTTGAGAAGGACACAGCCCCAAACCCTGTCTTTGCACTTTCCTCTTCAGACACCCTCTATGGGTAGGGAGCCCCAGAATCTCACCTTCATCTTTTTGGGGCCATCGACTTCAAAGAACAGTTCATTCTCATCGCTGTAATAAAAACAGACACAGGACTCAGTGATGTCTCCTCCACAGGCCTACCTTTCCTTCCACCTCATGAGATTTCACTATTAGTAATACTGGAAACAGCACTCTGGCAAGTTCCAAGGTGATGTGCAAGGAACAATCTAGAAGGTAGACCCTGAGCCAGGCAAGAAGCATCCCAAGTGCTCCCCTGTAGACCCTGAGACCTGACCCCTAGGCTCGCAGACTCTGGTAAGATCTGAACTCTTCCTTTCACCCAAGACAGATTTTGCAAAAGGGTCCCCTGGGTCATCTGCTTGGTGTCTCTTCTTCCCTTGCCACCTTCAGGAAACCCCAGGGGAGCAACATCTGGAGGGCCTCTGGGTCCCAAGTTGAGACTTCAAGCAGGAAGCGAGTCACTAAATCAGGGTAACTTGAGCACTGAAAGAGGCAGTTTGGGCCAGATCTGACCTCTAACTGCAGATAACCCTCTGTTCTTGAAAGGGGGCCCTGTGCACGCTCCTCCCCTCAGTCTCCCCACTGACCTGTGGTAAGCTGTCACTTCGCTGCTGAAGTCAGGAACTGCTGCCATAGCTGCCTCAGAGACCTGTGAAAAAGAGGAGGAAGTGAGTGATCGCTTGCAGTGCTACTGCCTCTGGGGGCTGCCTTCGTCTGGGAGTTTCCCTTAGTACCTAGTACCCAACATGATCTGAGCTTTAGTGAAGGCAAGAAAGGGCCATCCTTGGGGCTAGAGGACAGCATTTGAGGAACCAAATCCAACCCAGGAAAATATGGCTGGGTGACATGGAACTACGGCTTAGACATTGATTGCTCAGATGTCAGCAATATTTATTCCCAGAATAATTTATAAGTCACAGCATTACAGTATGCCTGGCATTTTTGCAAAAAGCCCAGAGAGCCTGCATTGGTGGTATAGTGGTGAGCATAGCTGCCTTCCAAAAAGCCCAGAGCATGCAAACACACACACACACACACACACACACACACACACACACACAGCCAGACAGGGGGAGAGAGAGAGAGAGAGAGAGAGAGAGAGAGAG